GGACCCTTTCTTTGCGTTGGCAGCTCATATCTGCACTTTGTTACATCATATCTGAAGTCTTTCAATGAACTCTGAGAGGCCTGTTATTACAGAATATTTATTTGTCAGTTGGTTACTTTATTTGTTTATATGGATTTATTAGCTACTCAGTTCCAATGGACCCCGAGCAGTGTGTTTTCAATTTATTAAAATTTACTTACTGCATTGATATGGGTGCCCATCTCATGACAGTAACTCTGGCTGTCATTCAGTTAAGATTATTTAATTGCTGAAAAACACTCACCCACCTGTGATATCACAGTCTTATCACTCTAATGTTGCCTTGTAAGGAACCTGTATAACAAGATTTGCTGGAAAACTCTTTCAAGGCCATCCCTATTTAAAAAAATAGCCTATTCGTTGAGCCTACCTGAAAAGGATTTGGCGCCACATGAATGCCCTTCTTCTAGAGCAGGGGTGTCAAACTTGCAACCTGTGGGCCGGATGTGTCATGTGCTGGCCATGCCCACCCCCGGTTTAGCGAAGGGGGAGGGGAAATTTGCAATATATCATGTGACGACAACTTGTTATTGCGAGTTTGACACCGCTGTTCTAGAGCAAGGTTTTCCTTTCAGGATTTTAAGGCAGAGTTTAGACACTGCTCTAATCTTTAACATTTAGTGGCTCAGTGGCTAAGGTGCTGAGTTCGTCGAGCAGAAAGGTCGGCAGTTTGGTGGTTTGAATCCCTAGTGCTGCGTAATGGAGCAAGCTCCCATTAGTTGTTTAACTGTTTTAACTGTTTAACTGTTTATTTTATTTTTANAGACAGACAGACGGACGGACAGACATCATACTGCGGCCCGCGGGCTTTGAGAGGCGAGATCCGCGCCCTGCACTAACTAGAGGTACCCTCCGAGATAACCGCCACGATCCATTGCGCTCTTGCGGGATCCGATTTTGCGAACGGCTGCGATGCGGATGTAAGCCTCGGCGTGCTCTGCTTTCTCCCAAGTAGACGCTGCAGTCGACGGGGAATAGAAATGGCGCGTTTACCTTTAATCCCACCGGGGCCTGATCAATTGAGTCAAGAGACCCGGGAGGAGCGCCGGCGAAGGGGATCGACTGTGCTCTGTGGAGCAGTCGCCTGCAGGGTTATTACAAGTGGGAGAGAGACGCGCCGGCGGCTTCCAAAGCCGCCTTAATGGCAAGCAACCTTCGGCTGGGTGGCTCAATTGCAAGCAATCCGTGAAGTCTCCTGTTCCCGGCGGCCTTCGCCTGCAGAGCTAAAACCCTCCACCTCGCAGCGTTCCGGTCTTTTTCAAGCAAAATCACCAAAGACAGCAAAGCGATCGCAATCTTACGCTTGACTGGGGAAACGGGTGGAAAAACACCCGCGCAGGAGTCTCTTAACTGCCCCGTTCTTCCCCACCCCGCTGCAGGGAAATGAGAGCGGGACAAGTTGCGTTCTTCTTCAGATGGTTTCTTTCCTAGAAACGCACGTTGTGGATAACACAGGTTGTTAACCTTCGAAGTCAGGGCAGAAAGAGAGGAGCAAAAATTGGAGGGGGGACAAACTCGCCCCCCCCGCCCTTCCTTTTGGGACAAACAGCCCAATCAGTCTCAGGGTTGAGGATAGAAGCCGAGAGAAGACAGCTACCAGTCTCCGAAACGAGCATTTCGTTAAAAACTAGAGGCGCGGGGTTGTGCTAACCCAACAGAAGCTGAAGGCAAAGGAAAATTGGAGAAGGCTCTTTCTTGGAAGGACAGTCGGAGGGCGAAAGATTTCGGCCACTGTCTGGGCTGCAAAGCAATGAGATATTACAGCAATAAAATCGTTCTTTAACATCATTTAAGAAGAGATTGGACAACCATTTGTGTGAAATCGGCTAGGGTTCCCTGCCTGACCAGGGGGTTGAACTAGAAGATCTCCAAGGTCCCTTCCAAGTTTCCAAGTTTAGATATTCTGTTATCTAAATGACTTCCTCATGGGAGTGGGGGGGAGTGAAGCCAAAAGGAGCCAAATATGAGAATCGCCACGTTGTCCTTTGGCAATGCATTTCAATGTTATAGCTAGCCTCTATCTTCCTCGTCCCCATATTTCTTTTTTAAAAGCATACAGGTCTGTTTAATTGGAGGGTGGGGGGAATCCCTCAGAAAGTTCTCCTGCGAGTTGAAAGAGTGAGACTTCGGGCGATCCAGCGGAGAATTCTTCAATTAAACCTTCATTAAAACGCAGCGGATACACACACCAGATTGCGCAGATCTAGTTCAGAAGGTCGCTCAGGTCATTTTAGCCGTACTAGATGGGAAATGGATCCTGCTCTTCTCGGAAGGCGCTTACACCGCAGAACCCCCGCAAGGAGGGCGAAAGGAACTTCCATCTTTCTCCGCTTCGACCCCGAGATTATACCAAAAACGGCTAAAACTGACAGCGAAGAAGGAAGCCTTTCTCGGCCTCAAGTCTTCCAACTTTTCCTTTCGGGGGGGGGAAAAAAAATACCCGAGATCTAAATTCCAGCAAGGGGATGAGTAAATTGTGGAGATCCGAGATCATTCGTGAGCGTACAAACATCAAAGTTAAAAGATTTCCTAACCCTTGTCACCAAATGAATTTAACCATTGAATTTAACCATTGACAACCATTGAATTTAAAATAAAACCAAATGGAATGTGCATATCACCTGTAAAAAAATAAAAAAAAGCTGGAATATAACAAGGGGAGGGGAGGAAAGGCAAAAAGACAGCAAAGTGGAGGTGAAACTATTATGTAAGTGATAAATCTAGGGGGGGAAATGTCTTTGTAAATATCCCCAGAAAAAGAAAAAGAGGCAGTTTGGTCTAGCGACTAAGGCACCAGGCCCAAAACCAGGAACTTTGAGTTCTAGTTCAACATTAGGCATATAAATTGATTGTGACTTTGGGCCACTCACATCTCTCAGCCCAACTCACCTCACATGGTTGAATTTGTGAGATAAATTGGAGGACAAAGGAGTATTAGATATGTTCAGTACTTAAGAATTATTTATAGGAATGTTAAAGGCAGGATAAAAAATAGTTTTTTGGAAAAAAAAATACGAGTCTCAGTATTTTTCCCAATAACCTGACTAGGAGAATTGATTTGTACCCTAACTGGGAAGGGAGATTGCAAAGCATTTCTTCAACATGTTTTAGTCTGGATTTTAAAAAGAAAACACGACTGTGTTGTGTTTAAATATGAAATTATTTTAACACCACATGCCATTCCTAATAAGAAATCTGTTTTGCCAGCCACACAGCCATGCACGTGGTTGAGGGTTATTAGTTCCAGTCCCATTGTAATCTGGGCTAGTAGAAATATTACTAAATGCTTGATAGTACTCTCTACCACTGAAATGAATTGAAGGGATGCAAATATAGCATCTTTTATGTTAGTCCAGTTGAAAAAAATAGGCACATCTTTTGATTTCCATTCAGCTGAAGCTTTTGGGAGAATTTCTGCATGGACTGGTCCCCTACTGTTTCCCACAGATCAGTCTACATTATCACATACTCTAAATTATTTCTTAAATGCAAAAAAAATAAAAAAATGCACAGACCCCTTACAAATTAAGGATTGGGGGGAAAAATCAATAAATGCATTTGTGTCTGTATAATGAGCAGTAAACAGTTTGTGTCTGTATAATGAGCAATAAACAGTTGGAATAACTTCTAGAAACAAGGATTAGCCTCAATAATGTGATTGGACATATTTAACTGCCTTACCCAAAATCCAAAGATGTACCTTAAAACATATTTATTTTGAAACCCAAGTCATTTATGTATGTGGGAATTTCAGGTAAAGAAAGGAATCTCATTCGGTTAAGAAGAATCTATTTCTCTCTCTCTCCCCTCCTTGCAAATGTGTCAACTTGTCCCAACAGTGTCTCTCTTCTTTTGGTTAAGCTGTTCTAAGCACCAAGGGACTAAACTGCAAATACCTAAAATGTTTCTAGCCTTCCTGTAGCTGCAGCCTTCCCCTCCTTCCACCAGCCCTCTTTCCCTTTCTCTCTCTCTCTCTGTTTCTCACAACTCCACATTCTTTATCCAGTTAACATTCCCTTGGCTGAAGCTTGAACTATCTGAGATCACTTTCAAATGCCCTTTCTAACAAGCCCCTGAGCCAGAGGCCACTAATTTTCAGTGAACAAAAAAGCCACTGGAGAGAGTCCCGTTTGTCAATATCAACTGTTCCAGCCATTTGCCATCTTCAGACACATCGGCCTATCTGAGCTGGCAGATGTTTAGACAAGATTTTATAAATGGTTCAATATCAGCCCGTAATGAACCCCAACTGACCATTGCGAAGCAGCTAAAAGCATCCAGGATCTCTCCTGCTGGGATCTAATAATGCTCTCATGCCGGAACATTATTAATCATGGAATAAAATAGATGAGCCTCTTGAAAAATAAGTGTATGATTGATTAAAGGGCAGTCTAAGAAGCTATTATTCTTGTTTCATAACCATAAGTTATATTCACTCAATTTATCTTTGGAAAAGAAAATAAATGGTTGTTTGTCTCTTTATTGAAATTTTACTATATGGGAATTCTCATTATTTGCTAGGGTGGGTGGGAAAAAAAGAGAATGTTGAGACTTCTTCTTTTTTCCTTTTTTTTAAAAAGCCCAAGATGGATGTCTTAGGTGATTAGTGTGTTATAAAAACGTGTAGAAAGGACGTGAAATGAGGGAGAATATTTTTACTGGGAGGATTTCTTACAGTGTTTTTACTTTTTGAATAAATAACTGCGTTTATTTAAAATGTGGGTTAAAATATTTTGTATGAAAAAATGTTGGTTATTTCTATATGTGTATCTGTATTAAGTGATTACATTTGAAGGTTTTTTTTAAAATTCTCCTAATAGTTTAAGTTTAACTAAGTTTTATTTAGTCACATTACTAAATAAATCCAAAAGACATAACATATCTGTAATGCTTTTTAAATTATCATAAATTACCAAATATGCATATTTATAACCAGTAAAATGGAATAAAAAGGCAGCACCTTGTGGTAGACTAATCTGTTTTATTTACAATTATAGATATAAATTAGTAAAGAATTCTTGTTAAACAACAAGGGATTGTATAACCATCAATGTTTCAAATAAAAACCAGGCATAATTTATTTACAAAAGACTTGGGATTCCATTGCAATACAACTTGCATAAATTACTAGAAGATTTCATGTCATTACAAAAATAAATATCAAATATGTTTCATTTTGTAAGTACTTGCAGTTTCTTTAATTAATCTCTACTGTCTGTATCTTTTACAAAGAGTTTGTACAATAAGTCCTATCACACCTACAGGATATAGATATATAGGTATGTATATATGTATATACCGTGGCAATGACGTGATCAAGTCAAGATATCCTGAGAAAAAAACAGATTTCCGTTTTTTGTTTTTGTTTTCCTTTTTTTTTTTAATCACACATACATTAGGGAAACTAGACTATACCAGGAAACGCACATTAATGTCCAACGAAATTCTCGTTCAATAATTAGAGAGAGTCTGTAGATCTAAGGGTGCTCTGTGGTCTTCTTTTATACAGTGGCACAAGATGTGATCCGGGTTTAGAGTTTTGTTAGAGTTACAGATAGAGATAGATAGATTAGCTGGGGGAGAGATGATGGCTTGTTGACTTTTTCTCAAAGCAATTGTGACACCTACCTGTGGACCAAGGAAAACACCAGATCATCCTCAATCTTTCATTGACACAGAATGTGTTAAAACTGGCAGCAAAGTGAAAAGGTTATTCTTCTACCTTGCCTGGGAAGGACTGGGGTAGATTTTTTTTGTTTTATTTTTAGGGAGTAAAGAATATTTGATAATAAGATATATTTTTTTTAAACCCAAACCAAATTAACTGCTTGGAAATAGATGGGGAATGAACTTAGGTAATGAATGCAGATACTCTTTGGAACCTGGCCAAGATCTATCTCATTGTCTGTCTCTGCTATTTGAAATGTGTATCAGTACGCCAGATAAATTAAAGTCTTATTTTGATACACAGTTCTTTAAATTTAAGATCTATGTAGATGCCTCATTGTGCAGCCGCCCAGAATCAATTGGAGTCAGAGGCTGTCTAAACTGAATTAATTAAACACATACAAACAAGTAGGAAGTTATTCTGCGTTTCCTACTGGCACTATAACAACAAAGGCTTCTGGCGTCGATTATTTTGCACGCTTACTTCAAATAGTCGAGGAGGACAATGAGATCCATTCTGGCTACATTGTAAAGTGAACATGATTCTCTCTTCCCACCACACCATTCATTTGCAGTTGAGGTCTTGGTGGAAATAACTGCCCCACTCCCTTATATCTTTCACTTGCAAATAACATTTAAAAAGTCTAATTTAAAGTCTCCATTTCAAAACGGGCCGTGTTAGATAAAGAAGGGTGGTGTGCCTATAAAACAGCAGAACCTTTTTTCTGCGAAGTGAAACAAAACGGGTAAACAATGGAGTTGGAGGTTCTGGGTAATCACAACCTTTGGTAATGGAGCAAGAAATGAACATTAAGCCAATTTACAGGCCCGGGCAATGTGTCTTAGGACCGGATGCCAAAACGATTCCCTAACTAAGTGCAACAGAAATAAAAGGCAGAAAGGGAAGGGTCTCACTTACTTGCCTGGCTGCTGTGTGATTGCCCTTCTATAGGTACGGTTGAACTCCTACTGTGCACATTTCAGTGGGGTCTGTCAAAATAGAAGCGTCAGTTAGTCACAGGACACAGCTGGCTAACTAGATTATTCAGCCTGGGCACCGCTAGCTCCTTCTCGCACAAAAGCTCCGAGCTGGTTGTTTGAAAGGCCTGCCCCTATGGCATCATTTCTCAGCTGATGGAGATTTAAGGGGAGGGGTGTAATTGCTCATTGGGAGACCACCTTTCCTAATGGTCTTTTATTTAAAGCTTAAGTTAAGCCCGTAGGGTGACAGGACACCCTTAGATGCGGCTTAGATGGTTGAAGGAGCGATCCTGCGCCTTCAGAGTTGAACAACCCAACGCTGACATTTTGCTGGCTAAATATTCTCAGGGAGGGATCATAGGGCACACTTCCCGAGAATTGACTCCCTCGCGGATTGTCAAAACTTCTGCTCGTTTCAGAAAGTGACGGCGACGGACGTTATCGCCACTATACTGCTACTATCACATTTGCTACTATTAACGTTGTCTCCGGAATCTTGAGATTTAGGGGATATAAAATGTGTCGCATTCGGGCAAGCTGGTATTCTGTCTGTTTATCTTTCCATTTTTCCATTCATGGCATAACTTCTTTTTTTTAAAAAACTACCCTCCGCAAAGCCACCAAGTCCTGGCTGCTCCAGCAGGCCGGGGGGCTTGTGAAACATCCAGCCCCACGGAAATTGTGAATGTTGCGTTTTTTAAAGTGTTGTCTTTGTCTATTTATCCCACTTCCCTTGTCTATTGTGAGCCGCCCGGAGTCCTTCGGGAGTGGGCGGCATACAAGACAAATACTAAACTAAACTAAACTAAACTAAAAATCAAGTTTTAGCGCTGGTTTCAAGTAGTTTTAAACAATTTAGACTCCGAATTTTGTTTGCTCCTTATTTTTTTTTCCTTTTTGTTTCGTCAATCTAGTCTCGCTAATTTGGGAAAGGCGTATTTGCATTTCCTTCCTAACATATTAATTACTAAGAGGAGGATTCTCTTGCCTCCAGTGAAACGCGCTTAAGGGCAGAATCTTGATAATCAAAACAAAACGGAGGCTGGGCCGGAGTTGATGCTGCGGACATGCCCTTTTGATTGTCTTTTCCAGCAATGGAAAAGCCGCCTCCCCCCTCACCCCCATAATCGCTGGACGGTCTACCTCGCCCCCCCCCCCCGTCCCCAGTCTTATCGGGTGACCTTGTGGGCTGATCTGGAAGGCCGCCTGCTTTTCCCGCTCTTGGAGTAGGGCGCTAAACGGTTTCTCTACCCTTGGAAGCAAAAGAAGAAACGGAGGGTTGACTTACCTTTCTTGGGCTCGGAACTGGGGGGCTTGTAATGCTGTTCGAGGTGGCCTGCGATGCTTTTCAGCGAGTTTTCCGAGGCCGCCTTCAGAGCCGCGCCGCCGCCGCCGCCGCCAGTTAAGACCGCTTGGTTGAGTCCCTCGTTGGAGGCCACGGCGGCCGAGTTGTACCTCAAGATGCCCTGTCCCTGGAGGGCGTTGAAGTTCCCGTAGTTTGTGTAATTGCTATAAAAAGGCGACGTGTAATAAATATGCCTCCCCAAGAGCGAAGAAGGCGAGTAGGCAGCGTTGTGCGGGGTGGAAGGCGGTGGGCCCGAGGGCGGGCAGCTCTGGCCCAGGCTGTGGGGATGCGGGTGCGGATGATGCTTAAGGTCCGAGGTGGCGATTTCCGCCAGAGACCAGAGCTTGGGCTTGCTGGCTTGCGTGGTCTGGGAAGCCACCGAAGGTGAGATCCGCGCGTCCAGAGCACCTTTGGCGGCGTTTCTGGCAGAATCCTGGCCGTGAGGGTGGCCCAGGAGCGGGGCTTCTACCCCAGTGAGAGGGGAGGAGGTGACGGGCTTGGGGGGGAGGCCTCTGCCCGCCTCGTCCTCTTCCTCCTCCTCATCGTCGTCCACGTCCTCTTCGTCGTCGTCTTCCTCGAGCTCCTCGTACTTGTCCTTACACTCCGAGCCTGACTCGCAGAGCGGGTCTCCCGCCCTGCACGGGCCTTTCTCCCCGTCCGATTCGGCCGAGCAGGAATGGTCGGTGAGGGAATCCACCTGCAAGCTAATCCCTGCAGCAAAAGAACCAGAGGGGCTGTTAAGGGAAGGGGGCGACAGGATCCGTAGCCCCAAATCCCTGCTCTCCTGCCCACCCCCAGGGAACTCCTTCCAACCCGAAAATCGGGTGACTCTTCTCGCGTTCGTACCCGGCTCGCCAGGCCTTAAAGGGGATGCCACCCTCCGCAAGGCACCAGGCCTCTTGCCCGAGTCTGGTTCGAGAGAACTGCCGCGGCTCATCGGGCCAGAACTTGGCCGGGAAGAGTCCCGCGGAGAGGCCTCCCCTGGCTTTCCCTCTTGGCGCCTCTTAGTTGTAAGGCCGCCTGCAGACACTGATATTCCTAAAGCTTTTGGAAACGTAGCTTAAGGACACCAGGATTCCTACCATTATTCCTCCAGCTCTTCTAATCCTGCGCAGGAAATGAGGCCTGCCGGTGGGAGAACATTAAACTACACAGCAACTTCCGTGCTGCGCTAATTTGGGTGGGTGGGTTTGTTGGCTAGACTGGAGGCCGTCAGAAAGAGACGGCGGCTGAAAACTTCTCCTAAACCTCGCTGTTCTTGAACTCAAAATGAAACGGTCCCGAATGAAATAGGCTGTCGGCCGCTGGCGCTTTCTCCCCCCCACTCCCCAACTCTTACCTTCATCCTCCGCCGACGTTTCGTTGCTGTCCCGTCCTTTGTCCGAGCCGCTCTCCTCCTTGCTCCGGATCCCGCCGCCCTCCCCTTCCAGGTCCTCGTCCTCATCCTCGCTCTTGTTGCGGGGCGCCCAAGTCATCTTGTTCTCTTTCTTGAGCCTCCTGCGGGCGTTGGCGAACCAGGTGGAGACCTGCGTGAGGGTCATCTTAGTGATGATGGCCAGCATGATCTTCTCGCCTTTAGTCGGGTACGGGTTCTTGCGGTGCTCCTGCAGCCAGGCCTTCAGCGTGGCCGTGGCGTCTCGCGTGGCGTTCTTCCGGTAGGCCGGGTCATTTAGCTGGTAGGGGTAGGCTGGGCTGCCGTAGGGATGGTAGCTGATGGCCCCGCTCATGCCCGTCGTGTGGGCGTCGTAAGGAGAGCCCTGCCAAGCGCCAAAGCAAAGTGTTTACTCATTTCTACAGCTGATGGTCGGCACAAATATATTATTATTACTAATAATATAAGCGAACAGATCAAAGCACTATATATAATGGTTTGTTTTTTGGGGGAACACTCCTACGCATTTTCTTTTATTAAAAAAAAGCCCGGGTGATATTTGAATCAGATTTCCTCCTCCTCCTGGAAAAAACTGCTGAAATTTTCATTTAATGGTTTCAATTTATTTAACGCATTTGTTTATTTTCCTCTCTAAGCCCTCTTTCTACTTCCCCCCCTCCATGTCTACATGAATGGCTAAGATATTTTCCTTTTCGCTGGGTGGGTGGGGGGGGAGGGAGCGGACTGAGCGGGGAGGGAGAGATAGGACGAGAGACACAACAAAACCCCCCACTTAGCAATTCAGCCCGCTAATGCATTGCAAATCCAATTTGCAAACCAGGAGATATGCACCGTTTCGAATTGGTCAAATACGATATAATTAGCATTTTAATTCACCCTTTAAACGTTTAAATCACGCTGATTTAAAGTCTGCGTGATAACGAGAGTATATATGGAGGAGGGAAAGGGGAAATTAGTTGAGCAACTTGGTAAGTTTTATAGGCGATTCGGGAAAGAAAACCACAATGTGCTCCAAATCTACCTAATGTTCTTAAATAACCCATGGAGGAAAAAGAAAGAAAAGAAAGAAAGAAAGAAAGAAAGAAAGAAAGAAAGAAAGAAAGAAAGAAAGAAAGACTTGGCAACTTGCGGGCGCTTTTCTTTTGCCACGAGAAAGTCAAACAGAAGAGCATTTGAGACGGGGTTCTCATTATCCTAAATAAAGATCGCCCGGCTGGGAGAAAAGGCGAAGGTTATGGGAGAGAGAAAGAGGGAGGGAGGGACGGAGGGAGAGAGACTCCAGCCAAAGACGCCCGGATCTGATATCTCGTGTGTAGTGAAAGAAAACGCACCCTTCGCCCCACTTTCCCAGGACCAATTGGCTCTGCTATCTTTAATCCTTCATCGGTTTGCAATAGCTACAAAATACGCACGAACGCCCGACATTAACATACTTCGCAGCAAACCGGGAAGTGGTGGGTATCTGCCCGAAGCTGCGCGAAAAGAAGTGGGAGCGCGAGGACACACGCACATACAGACACACATACACACGCGCGCGCACACACACGCACACGCCCGGCTTGGGCTCCTTTAAACCAGCGAAAGGTCGGCACTCTAAATTACACAATCGGGAGTAAAAGTGGAGACAAAAGAGGCAAATTAGAGAAGGAGGAGGAAAAAAACTTAACAGGAAAGTCGTGGGAAACGTAACACAGAAAGTGGGGGGGAGCAGAATCCAAGGAGGAAAAAGAAATTACAAAGGGAAAGGGAGGAGGAAGTTTTTAAAAACGCGGGGATACAAAGAAAAGGAAAAGTAGAAAAGCAGCGAAAGGTGCCATAAGCGAAGAACAAAAAAGAAAGAAAGAAAGAAAGAAAGAAAGAAAGAAAGAAAGAAAGAAAGAAAGAAAGAAAGAGAAAGCCGACGAGGGAAAGACAGCTGTTCCCTCCTTTCCTCGGTTCACACGGGGAGCTTAGCGCGGGGTACATTCACACGATCCCCCCCAGCCTAGCCCAGATGGTCTCGGAGATTCGAGTGGGGGGAGCGATGGATGAGGAGGAGGAGGAGGAGGAGGAGGAAGAAGATGGAGGAGGCGGCTGCGATGGTGAAGGATGGCGCCGAGGCGGGTCGCTCGCTCGCTCGCTCGCTCGTCAGTTACCCACCATGTAGGAGGGGAATCCCGTGGCCGGGTCGGTGGAGTATTGAAGCGGGCTGCTGAAGCCGGTGGCTGCCGCTTGGGCCGTGAACGCCGCGGATCCGGGATAAGGGCTGAACGCCGAGCCCGAAGATGATCTGGCCAGCTCTTCGCTCCTGGGCGCCGCCAGCGCCGACGCCCCGTAAGCCGGGCAGGAGTAGAGCGCCAGCGAGCCCGGGGGCTGGTAGAGGTAGCCCTGAGGGTAGGACATAGCTGGCTGGCCGGACGGCTGTCAGCGGGCGGGTCAAAGGAACGGAAGCGGGGGGCCTGGACTCAGCCCCCGGGCGGAGAGGAGGACGGCTGGCGCTTCAGCGGCTAAGCTGCTGCCGCCGCCGCCGCCGTGGCTGTTGCTGAGCACTCCGGCCGCGGAGGAGCTCACAGCCTCCGCTCCATAGGCGGGAGGAGCCGGAGCCAAAAGGAGAGCCGGGTTCGAGGCGGAGGAAAGCCGCTCGCTCTCTCTCTCTCTCTCTCTCTCTCTCTGGGCGCGCGCGCGCGCTCCCTCTCTCTCTCTCTCTTTCTCCTTCTCCTCCTTTCCCACGCAGAAGTCACCCACTGCTGCAGGAGGAGGAGGAGGAGGTAGCGGCGGTGGGCATCTGGGCAAGAAAAGGCGCGCGGGAAAAAAGAGAGGAGGAAGAGGAGGCGTCTCCCCCCCCCCCAAACCCCGGCAGGGAAGAGGTCAAAAAGAAGGGAGAGCGGGAAGAAAGACCAGCCTCGACAGGGCTGCCCCGGGTAAGCGGTCTCCGCTGGCTCCGCAATTCTTCCCTCCCTCCTGCGCTCGTCGCCCGCCAGTAAGGTAAAGCGAGCTTTCGCCCCCCCAGCAGCAGCAGCGCCTGCGACAAGTCTCGGATTTTGGAGCAGGCATAGGAGCTTGGGAAAGGCGAGCAGTTGGTGGGGAAAGGAGTTTCGGAGGGACATTGGCAAGGCGAGCTGTCCGTCACGACGACTCATCTGCATATGCGGGAAGGCACGCCCCCTCGCCCGGCTCCTTCCCAGATGGAACCCAAGGAGGGAAGGAAGGACTTGGGCGGGGCTGTGGGAAAACAAAATCAAACCAAATCCCGCCCCCCCCTCCCCTCGGCGGCTGCGGCTCCGGCGGCGGCTCAGAGAGAATCGCGCGCGGTGGCTTGAGGCCCAGTGGTGGAGCGCAGCGGCTGCAACTGAAGGAGCTGGCCGGACGCCGAGCCACGGAATGCATTCTTGTCTTCCTCTCTCCACCCCCTCTGCCCCCCCTCCCCAGCTCAGGGGGGTTATATAGCGTCAGAGCTGCCCGCGAGGGAGGCAGGAGGCGTTGAGGGAAGGGGAGAAGGCCTGCCAGCCCGCCACCCAACTAAAGGCATTCCCCCGTTGGCACCAGGCTGAGGCTTTGACAATTGTCATGTGGCTTCGTTCCATTGCAGACCAGCTCCGGATGGAGAGGCCTGCAACGGACCTCCCCTCTCTAAATAAAGGAAGGGGAGAGACTTGCATTCGTGCGGGGAGGGGTGGAGGCTCGCTGCTTGTAAGGCAGCGCCTTTGGGACCCAAGAAGTGTTTGGGACGCGTTTGGCAGGCTGCAATCCTAAACCCAACAGAAGCTTCAATCTAAGCTCTTTTTTTTTGCCTCCACCACGTCAACTGAACGGGAGAGACTTGGGTAAAGCCGAATCAAATTTCCAGGTGTGGAGCGCAACTCTCATTTGGATGACTAGGACACGTGCTTAGGGGTAGGGTCAAGAAATCTCAAAAGAGCAGCAGTAGCAAAAAAAAAGCGACCATTAACCTGAGTTTCATGGGGGCCCAAGTGATGGTGTTGGCAGGAAGCAGTCCCTATTCCAATGAAAAGGAGAAGCGGTGTGTGCAATTAATCCGTAGACACTTTCCATTGGGACGCGGTTTTGTTTTTAAATTCCTAACCTCAAGTAATTCTTTCCAAAAAAAACCCCTCCAACGAAATTCTTCCAACCCCTGGTATTTTGGGGGTAGCAAAGGAACTCCATCGCCTTCTATTTCATCACTGACCTCTGGAGGGTTTTTCTCACGCTGGAGAAAAATCTATGTGGTCGCTAGAAATCGACACAGACTTGATGGTATATAATCATCAATGGGTTGGGGAAATCGGATCGTGTGTGTGTGAAAGAGAGAGGGAGGGAGGGAGGGAGGGAGAGAGAGAGAGAGAGAGAGAGAGAGAGAGAGATTAATTTTGCGCGCTCCGTCCCGATGGAGCAGCTGCTACATTTGCTTCAGTGGGATGGATGGGTGAGGGGACTTGAGGTAACTGGTGGTCTTTCTTTCCATTTACTCCGTTTTCCCCGCCGCCCCCGTATTCCACCCAGACTGGCTTTGGAGGAAGCATCTCTTTACTCGAGGGTCGTCCTCACGGCCTGCCACACGGTTAAGCGCTTGGCCCTTAAAAGCCACTCTGATCGCTTAGCTGAGGCCCTGGCGGCATTGCCATGAATGGCCGGGGTATAAAGAAATAGTGTAAAACGACTGGCTTTCCTCAGTTGATTCCGCACAAGGCACAACGCGGGGCAATCTCGATGGGGATGTCTTTCAGCTCGGTGACTCAAACTCAGGGTAAAGATCTAAAGAACACCACCACATCCTTAGCGCCTGGTCATCTGCTCGGAAGCAACAATTTGCTTTCACCATCCAGCAGATGGCGGGGAGGGTGACCTGAGGTTTCATGGGGTGGTGGTGGGGGGGAGAAGAACCCTTAAAAGTGACAGGTGGATTTACAAATTGTGGCTGAAGCTTCCCTCGAGCCTGATCGATTACCGAATGGGGCAAATCGAATCCGTGCACTTGGGGGATTGGAGCTAAAGTGGCTTCATAAGCAACCTGCTTTCTAACTTCCCTGGAACCCAATGCCTGGCATTTTCTATCTCTGCGCAAACGCGGGACGTTCGGTTCGAGACGCGCTACCGACTGTTCTTGTTCTTCGCTCCACATTTGACCGCTGGAAGATCGTTCTCACGACCATTGCAAGGCGATGGTCAGCAAGCCCACCAGCTCATAAAAATTGGTAGCTTGGCGCCTTATCTGTATCTGAAATAGTAACCGCAAATAAAGCAACATCACCTGGATAAATTTAGACAAAAGGTGAAGCACAAACTTTCCCCCAAACGCTCTTTGGAATTAAGTCAACCCGCTGACCTGTCGATTATAACATTTAGGAACCGAAAAGTCAAAGTGACTGTCTTTGCCACGAGTTGTGGCCTCTACATGAACATGATCCCTGCCCCAACCTCCAGCCCCCCTCCCGCCCAAGAGTCTTCTTATTCTGGACGCCCTTGGCAGGTCGGCATTGCAAAACGAATTGGGACCCTCAGACAGCTTTCCGTTTCTTTTCATCCCTAAGCAAAAAAAGGAATGAACCGCTCGTTCCTTTAATTCCCTTTTTGACACTTCGTAGAGGGATTCCTAATATTCCAAATATTCGCCTTGAAACCTCCTCGAATTGGAGTCAACCGTCATGTGGGAAATGGGCTACAAAGAGGAACGTCCTTGTCCTTTCCCTTTTAGAATGACCGAATGCGATGATTAGAATCAAATACAATTGGGGGAGGGGGAGATGCGATTGTCTTCGCCCTCACCCTGGCCAGAGTCCTTCACCCAGAATGGTTTTCCCCATTGCTTCCTCCGATACGTTGGACTACAATTCCCATCATTCCTGTTCCTGCTGGGTAATTGGTGCAGGGTGGGAATTAAATTACGATGGAACACGTGCGTGTGGGGAGCCGGGAGAAGGTTAGCGAGGGTGGGTTTAGGAGTAGGTTCCCGAAGGATTTTCCCCTCTAATAATGTGTCTGAATTTGGATTTTTACAGTCAACGGGCTCGGAGTCCGAGATGGGCTCGAAACGCATCCGGTTCTAAGACATATTGAAACATACATTGTGTAGCAAAGAATTATCAATACATTAAAGGGAATAATCAAAGCAAAAAAACAACAACAACTCTACCCCCAAATCTAGACAGTTTAAATACCCCATGTCATGTCCATCTCCTTTTCTCATTATTTTGCTCTTCCTCCGAAGAGATAACGTTGCTTTTCTTGGAGAGAAAAAAAAATGGGGAAGGGGTGGTGGTTGAAGAGGGCGGAGGTGGAAAGCGGCTAGTTTTCCAATAAGTACTTAATGAATAGAGCATTACCATTTCAAAAGGCGACCGCTTGCTTTGGAGTTGATTTGCATAATTTTTCTATGGCTTCAAAAACAGCAACACTGCGTTGTTGCCATGCATTTCCAAACGCAAGCAGAACACAGGCGGGGTGACAAAGAAGATTCCCCAACCCACCCCTACCCTACCCTCCACTCTCCCACCCCCCCAATTTGACTCCGGGGAAGTACTAACCGGAGCATTTAGCTATGAACGGGACCATTGGTCTTGTTTCGGGAGACTGTTTACTGTAATTCTTTCTCTCCCGGAGTTGGGCTGTGCGGGTTTGCAAGGAAACGGCGCGCTAATCTTCCGTCTCCCACGCTTTTCGGGAAATCTTTTCTTGAACGGCTAGTTTTTATTTAAAAAATAAACAAATAAACCCTAAGGTCTTTCCGAGGCTTTAACTTTTCATTCCGCTGTGATTATGCGCCCTGTCTTTCCTTTTCCTTTCTAAAATTCGCGTAACCGGCAGCGGTTACACTTCAGGGCCGCCTTTCGTGCGTCTATTATTGCTAATAAATGAACGAGATGCAAAGCGACCACAGACGCCTCAACCTTGCCAGGAAGATTCTTGTTACGTATCTAAATATTTGTTTCTTAGCAGAGGGCATTCGCACCATGCTTCTAAGCGCAATTAGAACATTTCTCACGGTGCACTTTAGCAGAATTGAAGGAGCAATCCATTATTTCTTGTCGATCGGATCTAGAAATAAAATCTAGGGCTGGGTGGGGAAGTACTAAGCTCCTTTTTCCCAATAATTCATCTGCTCTCTGGATGACTTTAGAGGCCATCCCAAGTATCAGTGTCTATAACTGGACGCAGCCAAAGTACTTAAGATCTCTTTAAATCCCATTGATTTCAAGTAGGGGAGAGCTGACTTAACTCTCGGCCACTCGGATCAATGGGATTTAA